TTAGTGAGAAATACAATAATTTATCCTTAAAAATATTTCACTCCTCACGTGCTCTCCATCGTGCTTCGAAGCTGGTAAATTTTCTTAGTTTGCTGCAGTCTCGTTTCCATTTTTCTCACCTTCCGAGCAGACCTTCGTCTGAAAGATGTCAAATGATCTTTCTTCAAAACCCCACCAAGTTGGCTATGCTTTAACTCCAAGAAAGGAGAAAACTTTCATCCTACCTTCCCTCCTTTCCCACGCCTCCCAGAATGGTGTTTCTTTAACGAAAATCGAACCCAGCAAACCTCTGATCCAACAAGGACCGTTCAATTGCATCCTCCACAAACTGTACGACTCCGACTGGAAACAAAATCTTCAAGACTTCGCTTCCCAAAACCCTAGCATCCCCATCATCGACTCCCCAGATTCAATCGAGATTCTCCACAGCAGAATCTCAATGCTTGAAACTGTTCCGAAACTGAAAATAAGCCACACCGGAGTCCCCAATCAGATTACCATCAATGAAGTCACGGATTGGGCTGGAAATCAACTTCTCGTCGATCGCAAAGCCGTTAGTCGCGGACTGTAGTGAGACATCGCAGAAAATGCATCTCGTTTTCGAAAAAGATGGGTTAAAGAACTTACCGCTTTCGTTTGTTTTACAGGAGTTTGTTAATCACAGTGGCGTCATATTTAAAGTGTACGTCACCGGAAAATATTCCCGGTGCGTGAAACGGAAGTCGTTGCCTGATATTTCGGAGGAGAGACTGGTAAATTCGAAAGGTTCGCTGCCGTTTTCACAGTTTTCAAATCGGTGATGAAGGATGTGGATTCAAAAAGACGGAAATGCCCTCGAAAAATTTAGTGGAGGAGTTGGTGGAAGGGTGGAAGGAAGAGTTGAGATTGAATTTGTTTAACTTCGATGTGATTAGGGATGTCAAAAACAAGGATAATTACATAGTCATTGATATCAATTATTTTTCGAGGTATGCGAAAATGCCATATTTCGAGTCCGTGATAACGGATTTTTTACTCGATGTGTGCTCGAAGAGATGAAATGTGGAAAAAACTGAGGATAGGAGGTACTTTGTTGAACCTTTGAAGCTCTAATAAGCTGACATTTTAGCATGCTTTGTATCTTCTTACACTGGTAATTGTAGTGCGTGGATTATTCCAATACTTGTTTTCTTTTACTTGACTCCAGTTTTGATTGCTTTTTACTTGACTCCACTTTTGATTGCTTTTTACTTGACTCCACTTTTGATTGTTGTGTCAAATGTGCATTTGTTACTGTTCTTGTTTGCAAATTGAGCTAAAGTTTTATGTAGAGGAGACAAATCTTGCTGTGCTATGTTATCATCTAGTTTCAGGTGTCTTGGATATAGTTACATGTCTACCATGGGATTTCTTCTATCATTTTATTTATGCCTTGAGGATTGTATTGTATACCGATATCTGAAAATGTATCGGATGTTGTAGGTACATTAGAGGAAATAAGTAGTTTAGTTAACATAGCCTTGGGTGATCGTTCGAATAATATAGGTACTTGTGTGATGGTGTGCTATTCTCTAATCTCCTCCCCTTAAGATTACAGTATTTGTTTGAATAACATAGCCATCAGTGATGGTTTCAGGAGTCTCGAATATAGTTACATGTCTACCATGGGATTTCTTCTATTTTTTATATACTCAGAGGTTCGTATTGTACCTATGTTCCAATATGTATTGGATGCCATAGGTACATTAGAGGGAATAAGTAGTTTTGTTAACATAGCCATGAATTACCGTTCAAATAACGTAGGAACTTGTGTGATAGTGCTATTCTATAATCTCCTTTCCATTTCCTAAAGATTATAGCATGCAAATGAGAATTATGGTTGTTGTTTAATTATTAGGTTTAACTCTGTGTTAGGCTCAATGTTAAAGATTTGCCATCTAAGCTTAAAGCGGATAATGGCATTTGGATAATGCCATAGGTACTTGGTAACCGGGAAACCTATGCACTCTTCTGAAGTTTTGAAGATTTTTTGAGAGCTTTACCCTGATCTTAATTTTCCTGAAATGTAAGACTATGGTATATGATTATATTACGCGTCACTGATGAATGTTGCACTGCACAACTTGCAACCTGCAATATACTCTATTGATGAACCAATTCATTTGTGCTCAAACTCGTTGCAGTTATTGGAGATTTAACCTGAAATATATATTGTTGGTGTGGTGTGTGATTGGTGATCCCATTTGGTCTCTTGTTCGAGTAATTGACTAATTGTTTTGGTCGTGAAAGATTGTCAGATAAGATTCATTTCGGCATTTCCAGCATTTCAGGTATCCCTCCTAGGCATTGAATTTACAGTAACATCCCAATTTAGGGGCTAAAAATATATTAATATAAAGTATCGAATTGAAGTCATAACGAGGGAAATTTTGAGGACCAAATTGTAACTTTTTAAAAGTGACATCTCAATTTTGGAACTTGTGGGAAATTTATAGACTTGAACCCGAATTATCCCATTTTTATTAGGCAGTGAAAAACGAACCCCCTCGGTAAAATTCCGAATTTTGAATTTCCCCTAAATATTAAACCCCAAAATCAACCTGTCACTTTCCTTCGCGTTTCTCCTTCCTCTAGTCGGGGTGCATGTCACCGCTCGTCCCAGTCGAAGGGTCGCGACTGTCCGACCAAGACCCCTAGGCCTGATTGTCAAAAGTCGTTGTCGTTTGTTGTGGAAAGCTCATCGAAGTTTCGTCGAGAAACCCTATCGCACGTCAGTTTTTCATCAATTCAGGCCAATCCGGCGATCGTCCCACCTCACCGCTATCACCAACGTGCTCCCCTACCTGTTTCGCTCAAAAATCGACTAGTGGGTCACGTCGTCGCTGTTGGTTTCGCCGATCACCAACGTGGGTAAGAGTTTCGGTCATTTTCTTTTAATTTCGATTGATTTTGGCTGGGTTTTGATATTTTTTTTATTTTAAAAGGTGAGTGCTTGAATAGAGAGTAATCGACTGAGTCAACTTGTTGACTTTGACTGAGTCAACCCATTGACAGTTGACCGTTGACTTTGATCGAAAAGACATTTTCTGAAAAGCCCTATTTTATATTTTTTGATGTTCTGAGTTCGAATCCGAAGTTCTTTTTGCCAAATTTTCACCCGGTAAGCCATTTTCAATGTTTTATCTTCGGATTCAAGTTGGTTTCTCATTTAAGTTCAGTTTCAAACGTAAATTCGGTTGCTTTGTATCCGAAGAATTATTGGACATTGAATTAAAGTTTGAGGGCGATCAAATGGAGTTTAAATGGTCGATCGATATGGCACAAAAATCAAGATAATAGTATGCTTTTCGGAACTCATTGATAAATGGTAAATGCATGAATGGAAATGATTGGTCCATTAGGTGTAGTTAACTATCATTGAACTCAGACAGAAATTGGAATAAAGAAGGAACATTGTGTAAGATTCTGACGGCTCGAAAAAGAAATAGGTAGATTGATTGGAAACAAATATCAGTTCAAAGATTTAATCAGTAAATCAATCAATCTCAAAACGCGTAAATTCTGATTAATCTCATTAAAGGTTAAATGTTGAGAATATTTGGATAAGAAATTACCAAAAATAGCACCATGAGATAAAATTACGAAAATGTCCTTGTATTGAAAAATAACCAAGACATTCCCTAGAGGTGAAATTAACCTCCTGTGAGCAAATGAGCAAAGTACTCTGAACTTTAATGAAACTAAAATACTTTCAAGCCTAAGTTATCCGAAGTAACGTCACTGACTGAATTGAATAAAATGATGATAATGCCCCTAAAGAGTAAAATAATCCAAAATATCTCTAAGCCTTGAAATAACTATTATATGACCAAATTGGACTGAAATGAAGTATTGTATGTATTCAAATTTTGAAAATTACGGAATTACTCTAGAAACTCCGAAGTGACCGGGATAGATTTAACTACTAAAAGAGCTAAGTACCCCGATGACCTTGAATTAAATGAATAACTTAGATAAGTCTGGAAATACTGATGATCTTATATGTTGTACCGTCCATAAGGGTTTTGAACAACGAATCAAGCACGTCGATATTTTTCTAATAACTTTACAATGTCGAATTGGAATAAAGACCATTGGAATACCTGTTCGTTTCTCTAAGATCAATTCTATGATTATTCTGAGGATGATCAATTCGACAAGAATTTTCTGTATTAAAAAGTGAATACTCTGGAAGTGCAACGATTTAACCGATTGTCAGGTATCATTGATGGGACTTGTATAGTTCGAGTTAGCTCGATGTTCTGATAAATCGACACAAATCATAAATGCCCTAAATCTTCGTTTCTCCCTTATCAGTTCAAATCACTAAGAATTCTCAAAGAACCTAATGCCCAAAATGCCTCTGATTTTCCTGAATAATTGAATCACTCATGTCATATCTGAAAACACAAGTAACTCAGATGCAAAGGATTCTGAATACCTTTTTGATTAACTAGTGCCTCTGAAAAATATATGAATACTATATGATCCTGATAAATCACGTTATGAATAACTGATGATTCTGTCAGCTAATGAACTCTTTCGATAGTGATTCTAATTTTTCTCATTCTATTGGTATACTAAAGTTCCGTATTTCTCTGCCCGATAAGATTATCAAGTACCTCCGAATAATATCTGGAACCTCTAGTGTGTTCCCTGATCACATATATATTTTATCTGATTTTACAAGTATGTTTATGTTATCTGAAATACAGTTTGACCTCTGATTTCTGCTATGAACTTTGATATATGTCCTGATCTATAATTTCATTTATAATATATGATATCTTCTCTGATTTCTGATATCTCTATTTACTGTCTGAAATTATTTTATATGGGGTACTCTAGTATGACTGAAGACACTGACAGGTTCAGTCACTATTGGTAATTCCTTGTATAGGTTCAACACAGACTAGTAATTCCTTATGGACCTAAGACGACTCTTGGGTGGGCTCTTGGGCCTAATGGGCCTAGTGGTAAGACCTTATTAACCCCAAGGCACACTCTTAAGGATAACACCACTACTATGTGCTTTTGGGTAAGACCATATGGACCTGAGGGCACTCCCCTCAGATGGGCACCTACGCTTTAGCTAGGATAAGACCTTATAGACCCAAGGTGTTCTCTTAGGTTGATACCTACGCTCTTTTGGGTCTAGGGTAAGTCCTTATGGATGCAGTTTTGGGGAACTACATATTGGCGTTCGGTTGGAGGATTTTACTATGGTTTTTGAAAAATACGTTTAAAACTGCTATTGTTTTAAAAAAACTTGTACATTTTCACTGGTTTTGTGGGAACATACTAGACACCCTATTCTAATCTCTTGAACCCAGTCATCTGAAACATTTCCTCTGAACTGAAAGCTTACTGTCTTTTACTATCAGAAATAACACTAGAACCTCAGCTCAGCATAAAAACCAATAGATGTCTGAATCAATAAGGAAACATATACTTATTTGTTATCTGCATGTTCCTCAGCATCATCTGGTAGTTCTGTATTACTGAGCTTTCCAAATCTCACTCTGTTACTCACCTTTTTAGGTTAGAAGGATTGAACCAGTGACACTATCGCCATTAGTAAAAGAGTTCCATCGGCGTTGCTTGCAGAGTACGGTGCATGTCATTAGGGGCATGTAGCTTGCATTTTGTTTTTATATCTGTGTATGGAATTTGTTTTATTTCTTAATATTGTTAAATGTTACTTTTGAATATATAATTTTTTATGATTTTAAGCGTTTAAACAAAAAGTTTTTTTTTGAGATTTTTACGGTGGGTTGCTCCGGTGGCCTTAATGTGACAACTCGGAGATCGGGTCACCCGCATTGACCCGTGAGTGTTACATTTACTCCATTAGAGGTAAGCTTAAAAGATACTATTGACGGCTTCAGGAAGAATAAGTTGTTGACTATGTGTTTCATGGTATGCTACCATACATTCATATTATG